TTTAGTCAGTGCCCATGAAGAACATGCAATGTCCTGGATTAAACACTGTGACAGACAAACATTGCTCTACTCTGCTCATTCATCTCAAATGGTATATTTAAAGTGAGACATGTCTCCGCCAAGTAAAATAAATAAAAATAACTGCATTTACTTCAATTTATGTAGTGCTTTTCTGGTCTTGGCCTTGAGGTATGTTAGAATGCTTCTCAGCTGTCATTGTCAATTGTTGTTTAAACAATCCACATCACAAAAAAGAGTAAAAAGATGAATAAAGAATACACAACATTCATGATATCATTTGCATTTTTTTAAATGCAAAGAAGTTTTGGTTTAATCACTACTTGTGAATCTTATTTGTACAATGTCAGAATATTTTTTTAATTGTCAAATTGTGAAGTAACAACTGCCTGTTTTTTTCTTTAAACCTTTAAAGCGAAACTCTCTGGCAAAATTTCTGACAGTGAATCATGAAGGAAATGGAGACCAGAAAGTAGCAAACAATAGGTGCTTCTACATACAAAAATTGCTTTAATATATGGACAAATATTGCATAAGCCTTATCACAACTTATCTCATCTAAAACCACACAGGTAAAACATATCCATTTTACATCCAATCCAGGTAAAAGGGAACACACCGTGAATATACAAATTTATGCAAAAATATATGAAAAAAACAGGTGGGTGGGGCTTCTGTACTCGCAGTCAAAGCTTGACTGTTTACTCTGACTGAAAACAACAGGAAAAATGTTTATAATGGAGCATTTAAGTCAGTGTGAAGACTTAATCTGTGACTCAATATTTTTATCAACCTTTTTCCATCTTTAATGGGATAAAATTGTTTGTTCGCACAGAGGTAGGTTTGGATAGATTTAGTCCCTTAATACATGAAATCATTATTTTAAAACTTTGACCAATATTAAAATTAGTTTGATGATCTGAAGCCTTTAAGTGTGAAAAATGCTTTTTTCACACAACAGTATGCACACCTGAATGGGTGGCTGGCTAAACCTAAATTAGGTATACTAGTATTTTTTAGCATCTACATCTGTTGTGACAAATTTGTTGCCGTGGCTGAATCACAGCTGAAATCCACTGTTGTCAGTCTAGACTGAATATAACTGCTGTTTCCATGCCGACAGAGGGTGGTGAAAGCGTTCGAGTGGAGTATACCTTTAAATCAGCTGGACGTGGATCCTACGGCCATGTGGTCTGAGTTTATGGTCTTGGTGATTATTTGAAATAACCAAGCTTCAAGCTAAAAACTAGTGTTGAATATGTTTGTGTGTGATGGTAAGTTAGCTTTGAGGCTTTGAGGCACAATTCATTTGAATTTCAGTAGTGAGACCACACCTCACACACTCCCCTTTCACTCATATATCGTGAAATGTCCTCCTGCCCTACTTGCAGTTTGTTCTTATTTCTGTGCCCCACCCTCCCAGCTCTTGTCTTATTTCTCACGTCTCACGTAGATACCAAGAGTGCTTTCTGCCCAGAGGGCCCTGAGGCCCTCACCAAATCGGCAACTTTGCTGACTCTGTCCAACATTTTCTGTCAATAAACATTGTCCAGTGAAGTCTGATCCCTGCTAGTGAATTGTAGGTTTAAGGACAATTTCAATTAAAAAATGTTAAAAACATCAACCATCTTTTTCAATTCGTTCCTTCACTTTATTGCCATTGCTTGCCTTGTGCAGGTGTTTTTGTTCTCTAGCGTTTCCTTTTTTTTTCCTCACAGTCCTTCACAGTACACAGTAATTCCAGGAAAATAACTTGGTTGCCAAAAACTAAGCCAAACTCACCCTCATTTGCCTTTTTTTATCCGTTATCAGTTAAATTTACACTGACAACAAGAGTAGGTAAACTTCATCAGTAGATTTCCATTCTTGTGCAGCAGCAAAAATTTCTGGCACAACTTCACCTACTTCCATTGTGCATGGAGAGGATGAGAAACTAACAATGTAGGAGCTCCAGCAACACTTAAAAGTAAATAGGAACAACTTTATTAACTGACCAACGCGTTTTGGCTTGTGGCCTTCATCAGGCT